CTTATACTAAAATCTACACGCCCTGGGTATCACACTAATCATTGACCCTGTGTTGAACAATATTAGATGTCGACCACCAAGCAGCAGATTCGAACGCTTGATCGATTAGATACCAGCTAAGTTGCCTTTCCAATGTCCTGTACTATCATTCCCAGACTAGAAACTTAGTTGGTGATTTCCGACAAAGTCTTCTTCACAGTACTTAGTCGTTTTCTGACCTCATTCACTCTAAGAGGGTTGAGAGCAGTTCCTGGCTATGTGGCCATATCCCAAACATTTATAACACTTTCTGCTGTCGGTATAACTTTGCGAGAAACTGATCTCATTGGTGGTACACTGTACCGTGTCTGCTTCTGAGACTCATTTCTTACATTGGAGCCTGTTCAATAATTGCTTCGTCCGTCATTTTCATGTATACTAGCTCTGTCTGTTCTCACGTCTCTCCTGAAATAATAATGTTTCCATAACTACGATATTGGTCTAAACTACGGTCTTATTTTCCAATGTCACACACTTTCCTGCAAGCCCAAAACATAAGCTTAGATTGCTCTATGCTTAGCGCTGCTGACTGCTTGACCTCCTCATGCTTCTTCCGGGCATCTGGCAGCCTTTATTGAGTAACAGCCTTTCCCACGTCTTCCAAGACAATATAGAATTTGGGTAGAATTCAGCCACTTCCTGGCCGGTACCCATCTCCAGTTTCCTCAGTCCTTTGACGACTCCTTATGTTCCTGCTGTCGACTCATCTGATAAATGCGTGGACATTTCTGAGGTGACCACGAGTAGAACTTTGTTTCTTCATCGCACAAGGGAGTGCAAATGCAAAGAATGCAAATAGGCTGTTTGCTCGACTATTTAGGTGATTCCATGACCCAGGACTTCCATCTTGGTCGCCTCGCAACACCATTTTATAATACTATTTAAATCGTCTCACAATCTTTTCAAAGCTCTCGTTCCTAGACCACTGAAGATACCATCATCCTCCACGCCATTGACCAAAAGCACTTCTATAAGCTCGGCCTAATTCTTTCCCATCGAGGGTGCTCACTGCCACAGAACGCCTTCTGCTTCGCCTATCACTACGCTTGGTTGGCCATCTTGTTTTCGGCCCTCATCGACTTTTCTTTCTCCTTTCACTGTTTCTGAACAGCAGCTATTTTCTCCATCAGGCTACATCTGTCCTCACCATGTCACAAATATCTGCCATTGTTTCCCCATTTTGCTACATAGTTCTCAACTATTCTTTCCTCATCAGCACACTCGATCTCTCTTTGAGTGAGGATTGCTGCAATTTCTCTTTCCAAAAGAGAACGCGAGGGCTTTCCTCTATGACTTTTAACCCATAATTCTCCTACTTCTTCAATAACTCTCGTACATACACATTCCACCTCTATCCTGGCCTGAAGATATTCGGTATATTTCACGCAGTGTTCGGGAACGAATCTCATATTCATGCTCCCCTTCCTCACTTCGGTATGTCTGATACATAATACTCGCTCAAAGGGGCTCTTGATTCTGGTTCCCTACTCCTTCAATCTCCATGGTTTGAATCTCTTGATTTTTTAAGGGTGCTTTCCTTCCTCATCCACTGTCGGAATTTTATCGACTCCTCTTTTTTCTGTCGATCTTCTGGTCACCTGCCTTTCCGAACTCCACACATGTCTCTTCTTGCTCAGTTAGTGGTTACTCGTACCGTCGCACTTTGTTCGGCTCTCATGTATTTAGCCGATAGACGGTTCGTGTGCTGCGAAGTGATAAACGTCCTAATTGACTGCACTCGAGACAAGTAGGAAAGAAAGTTTATCAGATCAAAATTTATCAGATCAAAAAAACAGCAGTAAATTTATGGTGCTCGATAAGATGCTCTTAAAGCTTTTGGTCTTATATAATATGTACTAGGTTGTCAGAAAAGTCTTCGGCATGTGGCATGTCGATCTGCATGTTGTAAAAATTTCATGGATAGTTTTTGAGCATTGATTATAAAACTTCTGTAAACCCCAGTCAGTGATCTCTTCATAGCTTTTCTGTCGTAATTTCTCACAGCGATTATGGCTGAGAAAATCGTCTTTGACTGAAAGCATATTTGGCTGCACCTGTTTCTAACACGCAGAAAACGCGTTATTGGAAGCGATCCAGCAAGAGAACACGAATTGCTATGGAACGCCAGAGTGCCTTTCACGACATGGTGGACATTTGGTAGCCGGTCCAGAACGTCGAAAAGTGCACAAATTCAGTTGGCCTGCTCCACTAAATGACGAGTGTCTTCTGGAGCTGTCGGGAGCAATCTCCGGAGCAGTGCACGGGACCGCAAGCAGCTTTTCACTTTTATTAGAACACAATGGCCATTCCTCAATAGCTTCTCAAAAAAAGAGAAATGGTTGCAAAAAAATTGTGATCTGGATGACAACCACCCTCAGAATCCTGCAGATCTTGCATGAACATTTCAATTAACCGTCTGTCTCGTGTTTGACTCGACTACTTTATTGGTGGTAACCAGAAGGGGCATCCACACCTAAATTGCATTCGGAAGCGCCAGTGACCCAGACGCGTGGATCCGAGGATTCCAGCGCCGATCCCAGCACTGCGACCTCGGAGGTAACTTTCAGAATTCTTGAAGCTCCAAGAGGTTCCTTCACTGTCAGCTCCCATCGAAGAACTGCACTGTAATCGCTGAACCATAATATCGGCAAATGGACGGGTTGGCCGGCACTACGCTCCAGTAACATGGAAAAGTTTACTTTACCCAGGCTTGTTAAGGAATTTGCATGAAAGCTTAGCATAAGTCTCCGAGCCCGCTATGGGACGCCCCGTCCTACCTGTTTCGTTCAGCAGGCCCGACACTAACAGACACCCATCTGCTTCCATTGCTGTCGAGTCAAAAAAGAGGGAGAGCTTAATGATTCGGACCTACTCGAAGAGAACTTTTTCAAGGTTTCTGTATTGAAAGCTCAGGATTTCCAGGCAAACAGCATCCACGAGCTACCTATTAGAAGGCAATATGTACGATTATGGTGGGGCATATATTTATAGATTGCTCACTGTGCTAAAGAAGAAAAGTGAATTAGAAAGAAATTGACGAATGGCCAAAGACTTTTCCGACAACCTAACATTTGGTGTTGAGCTTTCGGCAATAATACCATCATCAGGCCAACCTTAAAATTACAATAATTACAAATCAGCGACTACAGGACAAAGGACATGATGCATCGATACATACCAAAAGGAGAGAGAGGAGCGGCGGCCTATAGGGTGGCCCGGGAATAAAAAGGAGGCACCAATCCTAAGGGAAAGGGGCTCACTCATGGAAAGGGATTATGCCGAAAGCCTCAGAAGCCCATGCAGCTCTTCTTTCGCATTTATTTGTGACCTGATGCGATACATCTCCCGCGCCTCCATGATCTTTCTCTCCAGGGCAATACCATGTGTCTGTGAAGAACGCTCACGTCAATAGACGTACCGTTCTGATTCGTATGCCTTGACGTTCGGTGCCTAGAGGAGCTGCTGCGTGGGTGAGGCGGGATTATTCAGCGCTCTCCTGTGTTCGTCCGGGCGTATCTTCAGGGGTCTTGCAGTCTCTCCCACATACTTTTCTCCACATCCTCTACCATCGTAGTAGATAGACTGTGCCTTGAATTCGCAGATATTCTTGGAAGTGCAGTATCGGCAATACTGCTCGTGGCACCCATCCTCGTATATCCGCGATGACGTGAGGAGGTCCTTGAGTGTGGAAGGAGGTTGAAAAACGAGATGAATCGGATCGGAAGCTAGGCACGTTTCACACCACGACTCGCCTCACGAGCCATTTTGTCGTTTACATACGGCATCTTGAAGGTGATTCCATCTAGTTTTCGTTATGGTGTCGAGGCTCCCAAATTTCCTTCTCGATACCTACTGTTTTTACGGATGCTTTTGATTCTAGTATCTACGTCTGCGCTTCTTCGCGTCCCGAGTTTCTCCTTCGCTTTCTGAACATTACGCACAACGTTTGCCATTATATGTGTTGAGTGAGCGGACAAAATTTTTCTAGGCTCCGTACGCTAAGGCATACGGATGAGAACGCTCCGTCCTTTGAAGTGAACGTTCTTCACAGACATATGATACGGCAGCTGGAGAGAAAAATCATGGGCGGGAGAAAAGTTCACGGAAAAAGCGCGGGAGAAAAGTTCACGGAAGGACGGAAGGCAAATAGGGCAGGCTATCACTGCCTCAAGTTTCAAGTCCACAACTAGGTGCAGGGCGTAATACCTCTTCTATGTTGAGCCATGAACGCTCTTCTCAACTGCCCACCAGAGCCAAATCACCAAGCCACCAAGTTTCCTCTCTCTGGCCCTCTAAGGTTGAAGCACTGACCCACGAAGGCTCCCCTCTCTGTGCCATTAGGGCCAAGTTACTGAGCCACTGAGGCTTTGTGCACTGCGCCACGAACATTGAAACCTAGGAAACCACTCCAACCCCAAATTCCTCAACCTCTTTCATTAGAACTTTTTTGCGTGCATGGCTGCCCTACTGCAAGGTGGTCTCCAAAGACTCCGGTCAACAAATACTGCCCTCTCCTCTACCTACAGCTGATCTCTTGGAGCCGGCGTGTCCTTCTTTGACAATAATATCTTTGTAAAGGTTGTAATTGTTATTATACCTTTTATGACATATTTTCGAAGAAAACACTCGTGATATTGTTTTTCATTTATTCGTGAGGAGTTTTACTGCTAAACAAATTACTGAGCCACTGAGGCTCTGCTCACTGCACCATGAACACTGAAACCTAGGAAACCACTCCCCAGCCCCAAACTTGCGTCTGAACCCTTTCCATTAGGACCTTCTTGCGTGCATGCTTGCCCTACTGCAAGGTGCTCTCCAAAGACTCCGGTCAGCAAATACTGCCCTCTCCTCTACCTCCTCTCTGATTGTTGTTACTTATTCTAGCTGTTATGACATATTTTCAGGGAAAACACTCGTGATATTGTTTTTCATTTATTCGTGAGGAGAATGCTATCCAATCATTATACGATTTTGTACTCTAGAATGATTTGCTGTTCACCGGATCTATTGAACATGATCACAGGCATGCGATTTCTGGCCGAAACAAGAACTGTATCTTTATCCTTGGTTGAGCAGAATCTGCAAAAGTGAAATTATCATTAGGGACTGTGATTCTGAAAATGAACTCACCTATAGCCAGTTCGCGTTTGGTCCTCACTTGATTTAATTTCAACACCCCCTAAGACGCAGCCCTCGTGGTCATAGCCGTGTGAAATCGCATTGATCTTAACTTCAATTCTTTTTCCTTCAGTAGCCTGAAAGGTGTTGCATTTTACACAAGAAAGAATGGCGAATGGACGGTAGATCATACTTCAATCCAGTAATTGCAGAATTGGTAGTCATCTCGCATATCGGACTGAACCTGTCCGTGACCGAGTTTACTGATGAGAATTGCTTCTTATCCTTTGCTGTCAAAGTTTGTCCACATCCGGCTGGCTGAAAAAAGCCTTCACTGCCGACTTACTCAACTATCACATCTTTGCCCTACTCGTTCATTGCAAAGAGCACCGCCGTAACCACTTGGACAGATACATTCTGAGCATTTCCGTGGGTGAGGGAATCCACCATTCTGGCACTGGGCTGAGGTCTCTTGCGGACACTTTGCTAAATAGCAACATTTTCGGCAATTTTTGAATAGCAGTCGTTTTGGCGTTATGTGTACCTTTGCATTCGTAATGCTCGTTGATCAGGGACTTGTCGAGGAATGAAAGGATATGCGAGCCCATCGTTTTTTGGTACAATGTGTCATTTGCTATCATTGTAGGTTCACCGTTGCGAGTAGCACTGAAATCATCGAGCATATTACTTCAACTATGGTAGGTGTTATTTTTTTGTCTACCTGGATGCTCCATAGTGCATAATACTACCATAATCGTAAGTGAGGCCATAGTTATCACTTGTTTCCTCGGTCTGTGGGGTGTATTGATCCACAAAATTATCCTGAGACGGTTTACTTACATTCTATGGTATTGTTTGTGGTACTGTGCATGTGATGACTTACTACAACATTATCGATGACGACTGTTATGAAATCATCTCGATCATAGCGTGACATGGTATGGAAAAGTCCAAGTGCATGACCAATCTCGTGCGTAGCAATTCCTATCTGAAGTAAGTGCCTAGTGGTAGTGCCAGGTACGAGCACGTTGACCCATGTCTTATAGGCTTTAATAATTATTGAAATATCATCACGTGAAGCTGTGCAATACTGGGATTGCTTTACCTGGTCACAACCTTGACCAAGTGAAAGCCACTGGTCAAAGCCAACTCGTCCTACTTCTGAGAAACAGCCTTCACTTTTGAGCACCAAAATGAAATGGGGCTCTATAATAAAAACTTATCGTAATCTCATTGACAATACTTTTCTATTCAACCTTTTTCTTCTTTGTCTTCAGTAAAATCGATACATGTAGCATTTTCCCATTGTTTGGCACTTTACTCGAATATTTTTCTGGTACGAGGGTCTGAAATTATACATTCAACGGATGATTAAATAACTCAAAGATGTTCGTATTGGTATTTGTAACATCAAGCAGACCTATGCTTTCGTCGAATCTATAAAAGACTCCGTCCACCCAATTGTTATCAGGGAAGAAGTCATCCTTGAATGCTTGTCTCTTCATTTGACCGTTCTTTCCTTCGATACCTTCGATGACTTCTTCTGCTTGTTTCCTGACAATAATTTTTCGTGAAATGTTGAAGGTTAAACCGGAAAGTATAATTTTGAGGGTTAAACAGGAACATATGAAAGACCCACTTCGTCAGAAGGATGTCACTTTGGTAAAGTAGTTGGCCGACGTTGCTACCAGCACTGATATCGAATATTGTGTTAATCGCCTTTTCCACTGTATCATCCCGTTTGGCCAAGATTTCCTGAATTGCTAACCTCGTCAGTAAGTCTGACATCTCAAAATTTGCATATTATATGGACGCGCTTACCTTAATCTTGCGGTCAACTTCTACTTTCTTGAGTTTTGAGAGTTCGAGCTTCTTCATCAGCTTGCTTCTCATCTCGGACAACTTGCTGCCAAGGGAAAGTATGCCGGTTTTTTCAAATAACTGAACAGACAATCAGTATTTTTTGATGTTCCTGTTTTCCATCTCACAAACTCTCAACAACACTCACCTTCTTGAACTTTAAGAGTGTCGCGTTTTTGATTTTCTCGCCGTATTTTCCTCCTTTAAAGAAATCTTTCACTTTACCGATGTCCAGCAAGCCCGCTTGAGTTGTCACAGCTAGGATGAGTAGAAGTAGAATGAGCCTCATCCCTGAACATTCAGTTGTAAATGCATCGCAGGAAGTTCACAAGAGTACATCTGAATTTGTCGAAGAAGACCGTCTTTAGCGATGACACAATTAACCCCAGATTATTTTATATATACATTCCATGTAATACTCGATTCTGGGGGAATTTGAACACCTGTTCCAATCCCAATTCTGTGTACAGAAGCGACCTTCACTTCTTAATATGAGGATTGTGTGGGGGTGCGTGTGGGAGTCTCAGGGTGAATAACGGTCCGAGGAGTCAGCTTGACAGGGGTCGTATTATCTGACAGCAGGTGAGGGGGACGTAAGCCTCAAATCATCAACTCGATACAACATTGCTGCTGCCACTTCATCGTTGTCTCTTAATTTCACAAGTTTTTTCGAATAGCGTAATGCATTATGAATATCTTGCAGCAACGTGGAGAAAAAATTAAATGAACGGTGTCTGTGTTTTTTTTCGATAAAAGGTTGTGGCTAGTCGGCACATAGTAATAAGCACGCGTTCCTGCAAAAGAATCAATAGAATGGCAGCAAAAATCTAGTCCCGAAATGATTAGTATCGTGAAATTAATCGTTTGGAGAGGATCATATGAAGAAATTCTGTGCGGAAAGATCTCAATCCTTCTTGGCATCATCAGTAACTATAAGCCGCAAATGTGTCCATCTCTTGAAAAATAGACAAAAATTGCGGAAGGTAAATAAAAAATATCAACCATACGGATCCCCCCATTTCAAATCTGCAAGACTGGCGAACACCATTTTGTTTCCACAATAACTTTGTCGTGTAAACAACCACCTCCGTGAAAATGACTTCGAGTGGGGTTCTGCATGGCGCAATACCAGAACGGAAGATCTGTCCATCGTGCACCATTTCCAGTTTTTACTCCGTTTAAACCATTTGTCTCCGAAGCATTTCGAGATGGCTGAACATAGTTCCTTACTACGGCGAGCGAGGAGGGGGTTTTCTAAGCGTTTGAAATTCCTTGACCTTATCCTCAGCACAGACTTTCGCTGAATCAGAGAATGTCGAACAATTGCTGAGCAAACCGACCCCCGTTTGGCTGCATACGCTCGTCTCCGTGTCCGAATAACCAGTGAACGAAATTACAACTCCAGAAACGCCAACGCATGAGGGTTTTATTATCTCGACAATTACACACGTTCTTCAGGTTCTCAAGAGAATTAGCTTAGAACGACTTAGCATGCTGTAGAAACTAGAAGACTCGCACATTCCAGTGATCTTCTCTCTTCTGAATGATCCACCTTGTATATTACAGAAATGCAGTCCTTACAAATATGGGTACACTTGAAGCGTTCTGCACAACAAGCGCGCTCCAGGCACAGCGTTGCGACAACGCCCGTGGAGTTGCGCGGTGTAAGGTCTGGAGGCGAAAACTGTTTATCAATGTGTAGGATGCCGTAACCCTTCAATGTTCTAACTCTCTCGCCCAATGTGACCAAGGCAATGCTCTCGAACATCTAGTAAATGGCTTAATGTAAACCAAGAATGTGCGGAGCATAAAAAAAGGCTTTATAATGATCAACGCCAAGGATGGTCCGTAAGAAGAGAGCGCTCCTCGACACGATTTGTGTCCTACCGGAAGAGCGCTTCGTGCGAATTGCAATGACTTGTTAACGTTCCCCTTTTTTAACGAATTTCACGATGCGTCTGTCTTACCACAACGTTAGCAGTTGTCCTAGTTTTAGGCGGAAGATTTACGATTTCTTATTACTTTCCTCGTGTTGCTCTGGATCCAAGTCCAAAACCTTTCGTCTTCATTTTTTCTGTTCTTTATACTATCTTCATGAAGCAAGGGGCTAGGGCCCGTGCAACGTTGTTGGTGGGATCGAGCACTACTATTTTCTGGTAGAATGAATCCTCAACTCAACTGTCGTTGCGAATATCAGGTTCTCACGGCTCGGGCTCATAAGTATAATGTGGATGCTCGAATAAGCTGTGTACACCACGTTATGAAAAGTCGAGTTATTGGTCGTACTGCCCGTATCCGAGAATTGCAGCTCGAAATGCCCGTAGACCTAATAGCGAAGTTTGTTTATACACCCAGCATCGTGGTGGAACGTTGGCAGTAAATTCAAGGAATAACTGGTCAACCTGACACCCAAAAAACAGCTCCACACACCACTTGGCCTTTGCTACTTTTCAATGACCCGACTGAGCTGTGGTGATGGGCTTTGAAAACGAATCGTGACAGTAATGTCCGCGGTCTGAAAGAATAAGGAAGTGATGAAAGTCGGAAATGCCTAATCGGAGCTGCAATGAATTGAATACATCCAAAGTATGCTCTCCATGAAATAACTGGTGACCGTTCATTCTAATCTTTCGACTCATACATCATGACCTCGCTTGACGAGTCTCCTGTCTAATTTTAAAATAAATCCTCTTCGTTTCTGATTTTTTGACCAATTTATTACAGCGGGTCGGTTGCGACGGAGAACACGCGACGCAAAGTAGATTTCTCAGAAATTTTTGGACGCTAAGCTTGACACCGGCTGTACGTTCTTTGAATGAACTTTCTTTAGTAACGATGCATCTCTCGAACGTTAACCCAATGGTGTACAGCATCTCCACTAGTGCCGGTGGCAGTCACGTTGCCCAGTCGATTACTTGGTTCAAGGTGAGGCCATATGATAACACCAGATAAGCTCCCGCACGCATCCTGCGCGCATCTAAGCGGAAGAGGCCGGTTAAACTGGAACAGCATATGAGTCTCAGGTTGTTCCGTGAGACTGAACAATGTGCTTGGTAAAATGTTGATGCCTCGTTGCTGCATATACACATGGTTTGATCTCTTGCTTTTCAAGGGTGTTTCCCTGCTCCACCCACCTGTCTGATGGGTGAGGGCGTCAATCACGCCCATGTTAAGTCCATGAGGGTCCTCTCAATTCGCCACTAGAGGCCATCAACTGATCTAAAGTCTTCCCTCTCTTGCTCCCAAGGTTGAAGCACTAACCGCCACGAGTTCCCCTTCTCTGTGGCATTAAGGTCAATACTGAGCCACTAAGGTCCTTCACTGCAGCTCACAATATCTGTAACGTAGAGAGACCATCTTACAACACCAAACTTGCGTCCTGAACCCCTCATTAGCGTTTTGCGGCAGTTGTTGCCCTACTGCAAAGTCTCGCCAAAAGACAACCGTCCACAAAATACTTTCTCCCTCCACCTACAGCATCTCTGAGCCGGCGTGTCCTTATGACAATAATACCGTTTGTAGTGCTGTTACTTAATTCTATTATCATACCCTATTTTTCGAGAAAACACTCGGTGATATTGTTTATTTATTCGTGAGAGAATGCCTATCCAATTCATGATACGATTTGTACTCTAGAGATAATTGCTGTTCACGGTCTATTGAACATGATCACAGCGCATACGATTTGTGCCGAAACAAGAACTGTATTTATCTTGATTGACAGAAGGCATTTCGCTTCTCAACCCATTATCTTTTTTCAAAATATGCGTGTGATTTTAGAAAAAGCATGAAATGGAGGCACCGTCGCGAATACACCTTCAAATTATGATTGAGACTCACAACAGACCATGTTGTTGAGCGCAAGGAGCGCTGAGGGTCCATGTAGTTTGCGCACGCAAGCGAGTATAATTGAAGAGTGAACCGATGAGGAAGCAAAAGGAATTGTTGACTGTTTGTGATTGGGAATTGCTTTTGTTGGTGCGCTTTCAGACGAATGCTGGGTTATAAAAACTTTCCACCCAAGGCGGCACTTGAACCCGAACCTCTCCTATCGGACAAGTACAATACAAGTTACACTACCGGGGCACAGTTTCGACCCAACTCGGCTTTATTTTACATTCACCACAGTTTATCAACAGTCATACGGCTGACGTGATGGGTGGTTAGCCGTATAACGTGATGAGCAGTAACAATCACGAACAACAGGACCAGTTATAAAGCATGAAGGAATCGTCCACGGAATGGTCATTTCTTCCCATCTGATAGGCTGCATCTGCCACGCTGGAAAGAATCGGAAGCGACGACCCCCTTTCAAGGATTTCCTCGACCGTTATTTACTCTGCTTCCGATTCTTCCCAGCGTGGCAGATGCAGCTCATCAGATGGAAGAAAATGACCGTTTCCAGTGGACGAGTTCCTTTCAGGGCTTTTATAACTGGGTCGTTGTGGTGTTCGTGACTTAGTTACTGCGTCATCACGTCGAAGTTCGTGTGAGCAGCCCCGATCACGTCCAGCAGGTATGACTGGTGATACTGGGGGCTGAGAGATGTGAATAATGAGAAGCTCGGGTGGGGTCGAAAGCTGTGCCCCGGTAGTTGGAGTGTGATGGATGTGTTAGCTGTGGCAGTAGGAGAGGTTTTCGGGTTCAAGAAAGGCCGCCGTTTGAGTTGGGAAGTGTTTGATATACCCTCAGACATTGCGTCTGAAAGCGCCACAACAAAAGCAATTCCCAATTCATAAGCAGGGGTCAGACAATTCCTTTTTGCTTCCTATCGGTTCGACTCTTCAATTATACTCGCTTGCGGTGCGGCAACACTACAGGTACCTTGGCGCGCTCCTTGGCGCTTAACAACATGTCTGTTGTGGAGCTCGAATCCTAATTTGAAGGTTGTATTCGCGGACGGTGCCTCCATTGGGGCATGCTTTTTTTTCGTAAAAATCACACGCATAATTTTGAAAAAGATAATGGTTGTAGAAGAGAAATGGCCCCGTGCGCGGCCTGACTGATCAGTGTTGCTGGCAGATATCTGGTTAGCCTATCAATAAAATCTCACGACGAACTGTCATAGCGCAGGCGCATGACAGGGCGTCGGTGGGGATATATGGGGGACGTGCGCTCGGGTGCATTGTCGTATTCCTTAACAATTCACCATGTGTTCCTGGAGGAATGGTTGGGCAGGGAGGGGGCTAGTAAGCGAGTCAGATGGGAGTTTAAGGACGAGGGGTGGAGGCGCGCATGAGTTAGGAGGAAATGAGTTTGATTCCGTACCTAGTACTTGGTTTTGACGAA